TAGTAAATGTAGATTTTAATGTAGCTGTCTTAATTTGTCACTCTTTAGCACTGTAGTTTACATTTACCCAATGCTATTACCCCATTTCATATCAAACTTTCTGAATTCCTTTAAGTTTGTTTAGGCTTCTCTAAAGGCAGGCCTTCATTCTGTTTAAGAACATTTGCACCGTGGCTTGAGCAACAAGGTACACCATAGTCAAAGGAACCTTCAAATCCTTAACCTTGGAGGAGTTCCAAAAGACTGTACGTGCTGTGAAGAAGAGGAAGATGAGGAAGAAGGGGTCTCAGGACCCCCGACTCAATTTCCAGAGGGGCGTGCCGTGAGCAGAACTGGGGAGGATCTAGGGGGCAGATAGTTCTGGGATTGGATGGATGATACCATAAATAGTGGAACCCCTGGACGTGGGGCACATCTCTGTACTCCCCATGGTTGAAGGCCTTCATTAAAGAATCTGCTCTCTATCTTTTCTCTACTAATAATTGCCTGGTGAGTAATTTTTTGCTCCCTAGTGATCTTAAGGCATCAATAGGGATGGCAGGCTCACCTGCTGGTTTGCATCTATTATCTCCTCTCACTTGAGTGATGTTTTACTGGACATGTGCAATGGAGGGAGCTGTCCCTTCTTCCCCTTTATGGCAGTCTGAGTCAGAGCACACGTAATTCAGTGATCTGTAGCAAATGGTAGCATTTAAAGGTCTTGCAGGCAGTTGAAAACCTGCTGTGCTATACTCTGCAAAGGGCAGCCCTAATTGGGAGAACGTACTTTGTATAGAGGAAAGGAGTGTCTTGCCCTTGGGTCAAAATGACTGTTGTTGGAGTAGTCCTACGTGGTAGAAGGGCAGGATCTTTACATAATAAGCATTAGCTATTCTTTGCAGTTTCCATCTGTAGATTTATATAAGCTCTATAGAGGACATACACTGTCCTCTGTGTTTGGCAGTAGGGAGAGTTGAAACGTGGAGCAGTGAAATGGTATGACTTACTCTGTATCAGCTTGCTTGCTTCTCAGGCCACCATATCCTCTGACTCTCTAACTGCAGTGGAAGTTTCTCTCCATTTTAATGACCTCACTGAGAAGCATTTTTAAATGTTCCCCTGTCATACTAAGTGCTTGTGTAAAACTGGACCTTTCAGATAGGAGCTTTCAAGTTGTAATAGAGCTTATTAACAGTGGTGTTGAGAGCAGCAGGGCTTGAGCTATGGAGAGCTGCTATGGAGACCATCTAGTCATGGGTTAAAGCAAGGAGTTGTCCTGAAGCTTTTCAGATCTAGAGTGTAACTTCAACAAATTGTCAGCTCCCATGATGCTGAGATGTGCAGCAGGCAATCACCATTGTTTCTGGCAAATAGTCAGAGCCTAACAGGATTGCCTACACTCATAACAGAGAACAACTCAATGCTATCTCTCCGTGCCAAATATAAACTTTTATTAGCAACACCAAATATAAACCTTTATTAGCAACACAAGCGCAAGGGATGTACAAATGGCTGAAACTGTTTTATGCAGAACAAACTTGGCTGTACAGGTCAAATGATTTCCAAGAAAAGAAGGTCAAACTGATCCACTGTTGGACTGTTAATTGTTGAGAAAGGGAAAGGGTTACCAAGGGAGAGATGACATTTATCTAAGGACCATCTTTAAAAAAAACCAGGGCAAAACCATTGTATATGTTGGGCAGGGTCATCTGTGCACCCTAGCCCTCTTCTTTTGTTGGCTTGAGGATAACATGGCTGTGTGCTGTGCAAGCCCAGGCAATGTGCACTGTGGAAAGCAGAGGTGAAAAGATGCAAACACTACAAAAACATCCATTCCCCAAAACTCTTCATCTCTTAAAAACCACTGGAGAGGAAAAATACTAACGTTTGAGGATTTCCCTGACAGTTTTATATTGCGTGCAGCACATAATAACTAGCAGATGCATTTTGCTCCTGTGCCCCTTGTGCACACAGGAGAATGAAAAGAATTAGTTGAAGATCTGTACTGTTCCTTGGCCAAAAGATGAGTTTCCTTCTTTTTTCCTGCCCTAAACTCCAAAGTACCTGATAGACTGGCTACAACCAATACTTCCTGAAGTGAGTGCTTCTACTTCCATTGGCAACAATTTCTGGTGAAGTCTACATTTTCTCAGGAAAGGAGCCAGTTAAGACTCTGTCTTTGGACTGAGTTACATTATACTTTCATTGTAACTAATTTCTTGTTTGTCCTTGCCAGCCAACACAAGCCGCAGAGTTGGAATTAGATGTGATTCCTTCCCACACAGCAGAAAATATTCACTGTATCCTACTCTGTAGCAGATTGGCATACCCACTGGTGATGGGAAGCTTTTCAACTGGCAAGATTGGCCAGACACCTTTGTATGTCCCAGTGCCAGCGCACAGCAAGTGAGGAGTCTGACAGCATTCTCAGGCACTGGGGGTATTTGCAGATAAATGATTCATGGCTTTGGTTGTGATGGTCAACTTACTAGCAAAAAAATAAAGGAAGGGGATTGCCTTATTTTCCTGAGACATAATAAACCTGCTGGCCAACCCTGCCTTTGTTTTTATGCTATTTTTGCTGAATTTAGTTATTTTTTTAACTCTTCAGGTGTATCCTGGCATTTACCAGTGAAGTCTCTTGAAAGGAGGAGTGACTGCAAACATACCTATGTGACTCAGTGGTCTTCAGTTCCGTAGGTCACCTTCTAGTACTGAAAGAAGGAGCAGGTCTCTAGGAATGTGTATGGTTGGAGCTCCCATTCTGTTCAAAACCAAGTGACCCCAAGCTCCTGGAAATGGTCCTGATTATGGCTTTGGCAGAGTGCATATTCCCAGGATAGATTTACCTCTTGCACGTAGGCCTTGGAAGGGGCCTCGGAACTCCATCTCCCCATTCCTGAGCAGGTTCAGCCATGTGTATCCCACACTTGCTTCTGTTTCAGAAATTTGCTTTGACGGATGTTTGCCTGCAGAGTGTTCCACAACCTTGTGCCCACTCTATTGAAAAGTAACCCAAGTAGGAGTTGACCACCAAGGCAGTTCAAAGAGTTTGTCCCTCAAATAATAACATTCCATTGTCTATATTGAAGGGATGGGCCTCATCACAAGGAAACCAGTGTTGGACACATACAGAATGTGCCTATGCCCTGCTCTGAGCTGGCAGTTTGTACTGAATTTCTACTTTCCATATGAAAGTATTAATATTTTTTGATCTTCAGTGGAAAAGGCCTTTAGATAGCTCCTTCATTCCCTTTGTCTGCCAAAAGCAATAGAGATAACTGGGACTGGGAGTAGGGAACTGTATCTGTATAACAGGCTTACCAAAAGAAACTACATTTGAGACAATCTTCAGCCTTGCCAACCGACTCAAAAATTACTTACTGGGCTTCCTGTGCTGGAAGACTTTGAAAAATTACCATGTTTGTAGATGGAGTTGAGTTGGCTTCTTTGAGATGTTGTAAGTCCTATTTTCTAATCATGTTTTTTAAAGCCAAGACTTCTTTCTTTCACAGTGGAAGCTGAGATTTCTGTGTAATGACACAAAAATGTTCATCTTTGGAGAAAACACCGTTTTGGGCTAGAATATATGTGTTCAAGTCAGTAACAGCACGTAATTTAATGCCAAGGAACTTTGGGCAATAGAAACCCACCAGAAGTTCTGTCAATGAGAAAAGCAGGTACTGACACTGTAGGATTAGACTGTGATTTTGGGAATGAGTTGAAGTGAGGTGTCTGCTATATCATTATTACCTGCAGTTCCCAGTCGTATAAATGTGGTTTTCTGCAAGCTCTGCCTGCAGCAAGGCTTGCTCACAAAATATTCTGAGTTGGAAGGGACCTACAGGGATCATTGAGTCCAACTCTTAAGTGAATCTTAAGATCTAACCCACCACCTTGGCATTATTAGCACTGTGCTGTAACCAACTGAGCTAATCTCAGGGAGATGTGGATGTTCCAGGATAACTGTTAGCAACAGATTCCTCAGTGTCTGGGTGAAAGAGACCTTTACTGTGTGGGTCTGCATGCTCAGCTAACATGGACAGGAGGAAGGTGAAAAGCATGTCTTCTGCCCTGGAGCTGATTTCAAAGCTGAGAGAAGAACTCTCACATGCTAATTTGGTGCTTTCTTGGAAACATCCTCTCTGTCACTGAGAAGTGGCACAGTCTACATTTATACATCCAGTTGTTAACAACAAAGAGGAAAGGCTGGCAAAGTTGTGGCACAACATGCAAGTGTATTAACAACCAGGGTATAGGAAAGTGTTAAAAGGATTATGTAAAAGGAAAGAATTCCTTTTGGAAGAAGCAAAATTGTTGCTTAGTGTGAGGGGAAGGAAAGGAGGATGCAAAGAAGGATTTATGCAGAGAAGAGAGGGACAGGGAGGGCTGGGGATTTTCTAGTGCTGTAGCACATTAATTCACAGAGGAACCTGAGCACTTAGTGTTTTGAGAAATGAGGCATGTGAATCGCAGAAAGGCTTCAGAAGGACTGGAGAATGTTCTAAATGTTAGCAAAAGCAGTTATCCCAAGACAGACATGTAGGAACAGCGCCTAATGAATTCAGACAGCAGCTAGTGTGCAAGTATCTGCGGGGCTGTGACAGTCAGTAGTCAAAATAGAACTGTCAACTCAAAGTCGTGCCAATTTTCTATAGAATCCCATCCAACACCCTTTTAATCATTGGAAAGATTCCTGTTGGCTTCAGTTTAAAGACTCCTACTCACCTACACTCCCATCCTAGCCAGAGCCCAGCTCCAAAATGGACACCCATCAGGCACGGCTCTCACAAGGAAGTGGCCAGGATTGAAAGCTATTGGTGACCTTCTCCTTCCTGTGCCAGCCACTTTTGAGCACCAGCAAAGCCCAGAAAAAGCTGTCAGACATTTTGGAAGGCAACAGAGACCTCCCTGGGCATCAGCAAAGTCCAGCGATAGCCCTGTGGTGCTCCAGAGGGAAGCAGGACCCTGTGTGGGCCTCACAAAACCTGGCAGAAACCCCAGAACACTCTGCAGGACAAAGCAAAACCCAGCAAAAGCCCCAGGGCACTCTGGAGGGAAATAGGGCACTGACAAAAACCTTCAGAGGTTAGGTGGTTGAGGTCACGTGTAGGCTTAGGGTTATGGTTAGAGTTGGGGTTAGGAATTAGGTTTAGTTATATGGTTTGGGATTTAGAGTTAGGTTTAAGCTTTAGAGTTTAGGTTTAGGGTTGGTTTTAGGGTTAATGGTTAGAGTTTAGGGTTGGGCATTATGGTGAGGTTTTGGGATTAGAGTTTATAGTTAGTGTCTTTACAATCATGTTTATGTTTTGGGTTTAGAGTTAGATGGTTAGAGTTGGGATTACAGGGTTAAATTTAGGGGGTTATGATTAGTGTCAAGTTTTACAGTTAGGGCGTAGTGGTTTGGTTTAGAGGTTAGGGTTAGCATTAAGTTTTAGGGTTAGAGTTTGGTTTAGGGGTTAAATTTAATGTTATGTTTAGCTTTATGGGTTAAATTTAGAGTCATTGTTGTGATTTAATGTTTGGATTAGGGCTAGAGTGAGCTTTAGGGTTATGGTTTAGAGTTTGCGTTTTTTTTAATAAGAATTTGAATGGATATGGTATCTATCAGATAATTAACAGATTATTTGCCTTGTTCCACATGCTAGTTTTAGAGGGCAATGAGAGTTGGAAACTGGGTGAGTTGCTGCATGTAGGAACAGGTGTTTCATCTATCAGTAATAAGATTTTTTTCAGCAGTTGACCCAGGTACCACATAGATTCCAGCTGACACACAGGATGGTTTAGTACAAGTCTAAACTGTCATAAAGAGCCCTGGGTTTGAGAAGCCAGTTAGCCATGCAAGTGATACAAATCCAGGAAGAATTACTGGTACTTTGGAAGACAGACTCATCAAGTAGGCATGTTTCCTGACTAAATGAGAGAACTGTTGGTGCCATTCAGGAGATTCATGGAAAGCAGTTCATGCAGAAATAATCAGATGCACAACTAGAAGAGTGGAAAAGAAGTCATGGAACAGATCAGAAGATCAGAAGATGCAAGATGTGATGACTAACAGTAGAAGTCTTATGCTCCATGTAGGAGGAGCAGATGCTAGTCATACCAACTAACACTGGTAAGTGAATCCCAAATCATATCAGTCAGGCTGTACTCTGCTGTGCTTAGCATGTGTTAAACTACAGCATACAGCATCTGACTTTGGAAAGAACTAACAGAATAAAAGCAAAAATGCATACACAACTTCTTTGAGAAACACAACACAAACAGTTTGATAAAAAAGGAAGAGAGTCAGCAGTATTTAATCCAGAAAGAGAGGCAAAATTGGGATATCATGACATTTTAAGGGTGGAAAAAGGTACATTTTGGAGAGTGTGGATAGTGAATCAGTAGTCATAAGGCATGGAACAAGGCCTGATCTAGTGCATCTTTCCTAGAGCTAGTAAAGAATAGACCATGGATTAATAATACAGCTACACTCTAGGATGGAAATTATAAAAAAACCCCCACAATTATTAAGTGACTTAATAATCACCCTTGACATCTCAGATGAGTTCACAGTTCTCTGACCTGAGCGGGTACTGCAAGGAAGTCCAGTTCTTGTTTTGTGCAAGAGTACCAAAGTTGATGGGCTGTGTGATGCCAGGACTTGAGGCTGATGATGTATCTGTATTCAGTCACCGGGTTTCAAGTTGAAAGAAAGGAGATGACAGAGCAGAAGACTTTGTGCTATAATTCACTGCAGCACTTAAAGTGAACAACAGGATCTCTGATGAAGCAGCAGAGGTAACAGAATGTAGCTCTAGCAGCTGGAGTACAGAGAGGAAAGGCCTGATCAAAAGAGCAGGGTCTGCAAGTCTGACTGCTATGTATGACACCAAGAGATGATAAGCATTGCCATGCATATAACATAGCTTAGTGCCCAAGGATGCAGTGACAAAGCCCAAGCCCCTGTGTGTACTTTAGGCATCTACACTCAGCATTTTTGCAAAGGTTTCTCAGAACTGAGAACTCTAAAAATGTTCTTGCTGCGGGGTTTTCCCAAGAAAATACTTCTGTTCTGCTCTGAGCCAGAAAAAACTAACAAAATCCAGCTTGCCAGAGTACAGGCAAGGAGAACAGGGCCCCTCCCACAAAGAAACGGGATGGGTATCCACTCACATTGAGGCAAAGAGAAGGGAAACATTCATGGCAGTCTTCGGAGGTTTTTGGAGAAATGCCATCCTTTTGTCCACAAAGCAACTGGAGATTGTTCACAGAGACTCTCTTGTCTCATGAACAGAGGGCATTGTAGTCATTAAAGGGGTAGGGTAAATTTACTACAGAAACAGAAATTGGAGTGACTAGGGACAAATAGAAAAGCAAGAACAAAATGCCCACTCGGCACACTGGGACAAGCAAGAGGGTCCACTGAAAAGAGGGACATCTCTGAAGTTGAGGCACTCACAGTAACAACAGCTTCCAGCACCCACTTGCCTTTTTCTCACTCCCCAGTGAATGCCTCAGCCTAGAACTCAGCAAGGTTAGGGGAATGTGAGCCTCGCCCTCATCTCTCTTTCATGGTAGCAAGTCTCCTCAGCCCCAGACATGGGGAACACAGCTAGTCACTGAGCAGGCTCTTCAGAGGCATGTAGAAAAGGCAGCTCTTGACTCAGTGCTTTAAATCTCAGGACTCCGTCCTCCAAGTCGATGCAACACTAAAGAAGGGGAGAGCCAGTTACTTGCTGGACATTTCAGATCACAAATCTCATGATGTCTATGACTGGAGAAAACCTGCAACACCACTTTGGTTTTAGAGAGACCTTAGTTTCCCTTTGTGTTCTCCATGCCTTCTCCTTGGTCCTGTTTCCTACAATGGATTCCTCTCCAAACCCTTCACAGGGCCATTCCCCTCCCTTCTTCCTATGATTCCCTCTGAACTGATGTCCTCACACCACTTAGCTGTTCAGCCCAATGTTTTATGAGTCTGAGATGTGGCTATAAATATGTGACAGGCAGGAGCCAGGTTGCTGCAGACATATTCTGAGCCACCCAGGAATCAGGCTCAGCAGAGCATTGACCCTGAGCCAAGCTGATAAAAGGAGAGAACGCTTTCCATTCATGGCCAGCTAGTGTTGGATACTGAATATGATTATACAGCTTCATTTGGCTTAAAGCAAAAGCAGAGCTTGTTCACATCTGCCTTCAGAAGGTGACACATATCTCATGACAGAGTTAGTGTATTGCCTTTTCTTGTCTCTTCTTCAGTTTCTTCTTCCTGTTTGCAACTTGTATGGTCAGGAATATAAAGAATGGGTGATGTTATAGTATCCTATTGGGAGTTTCCTTTCTTAAAACCCTTAAGAGGGAGTGGAAAGGAATCAGTGACTCAGCACATACTGCAGCCAGTCAGGCAGCTGTGTGACTAGTGTTGCCCTGAAAGACCTGGATTTAAGTATTTCAGATGCTTACAGCAATCAGATCTTGGAGAACTTCTTGAGAGGAGCCCTCCAATTAGCAAGGAGTTGTTCCTTACCTTGAGAGACCACAGAGTCTGGAGACCAATGCAAAACTCCAGCATTTCATCATCTGAGAAGAGAGAAGACACCAATCAGGCTTAAAATTATACAATACTACCCATCTAAACAAAGAGTGTTTCTCCTGTAAGAGGATATGGAATACAAGAACATCTGATTCATAAACTTATGTGGTTATGGTCTCTTCAGTATAAAGTAGATAAAAAAAATAATGAGGAAAATGATGAGTTAAACACACAAACACTAACAAGCAGGTGGTAACAGTGACAATAATAAGTCAGCACTCTTCTGGCACTGACTGATAAGCCATTAGAGGAGCTATTTATGCACAGTCCTGAAGATGGTCAAAATTAACTTTGTTGCTGATAAGAGGAGGAAACCATGATTATCTTGACTATTATGAGATATTTGAGTGGGGGCGTGGGATTGTTTGAAACTTAATATGAAATGTCAGAAGGCGCTTGTGGGATCTCATAAAACTTACTGTGGGTTGTGTAAGGGAAGGACCAAAGGCAGGGGATGGCAAGCAGCAGGGTGAATCAGGGAAGAACAATCATGGAAAAATGGAGAGGAGAGGGGATAAGGGGGCAGTCACATGCAATCAGGCAGTTGGTCAGTTCACTTGTCTGACCAAACCCTGCACCTAATGGCTGCAATTTATCCGATCTTATCAGATAATTTTATTAAGTAAATTTTTCTGTGTAACTTCTCTATCCTACATTTGACTGCTGCAAGTCTTCAGTGTCAGCAAGTGTAGAACATGCCATGGGTTAAATAGCTGTAGATGTCACTAACTTCAGGGACTGGCAAGGGAGGTGCCAGTAACTGAAGGGATTACAGGCCATAGGGCTCATAGGTGTGTGTCAGCAACTGGAGAAAAGGACGTAGCTCACAGGTGCCAGCAACCAGAGACACCAGTGTGCAAGAGAAGTCTGGGTGCCATAGAGTTTATACACCTGAGCGCCAGCAATGGAGGGATTACGATGTGTGCTGCAAGGTCTGAGTTCCAGTAACTGAATAAAGACTGTGGATCACAGAGCTTGTAGGTCTTGGTGCCAACAACTGGAGCGCTCAGCATGCAAGAGAGCTCTGGCTACCTGCTCTGACTGGGGTCACAAGGGCCTTGGGTTTATAAGTCAGCAATTGAAGAGGACAGAGCACGACCATGAGAGATCTAAATGCCACTAACTGGAAAGACTTGGGCGTGTTTATGTTTTCCTGATGAATTTGATCCTATGAGGTTGTGGCTTTGTACTCAGGGGTCTGGGTCAGTGGCTAGGTAGGAGGCCTATGGTCCCGACATGGATATAAAACAGACCTAGAAGCTGTGCTGTTATTCAAAGACTGTGAATATAAGTGTGCTTGTGAATCTAGAGAATGAGGATCTGTGAACTTCTGATGATGAACTTCAGTCCTGGTCAGCTGGAGAGGAGGACCAGGGCTAGGCTATCTGTACTGTTATTTATGTGCCTGCTGATAAAGGCACTCCTCTGCATGTGGTGGTCTGTGTGGCTGGCCTTGTCTCTGTCCTTTCTCTATGTGCCTCTTTGGAATATACCTTCAACCTTGCTACTACCTCAACCTGCCACTAAGAACATGCATTGGACTGGGTGGGAGTGACCTCCTGCATCTTAGAGTTGCCCATCTGGACTTGAGTGGCAGCTAAGGAGGAATTTCCAGGTCCTGGAGTCTGCAGGAATCAGGAGCCACCAGTAATATCATTAACACTTCCCATGTCTCCTGAATGCCAGCTTGCCCTGTAACAAGTGACTGTAATTTATAATTTATTTATAATGACATAAGCAAGAGCACTGTGTGTACAGGGAGGTATAAGACACGAGGGTAGCAATTCTGCTCCTTCCAGGCAGACATCTCCGCATCCCAGCAAAATGGATAGATGCTACTGGGCTAAATTCACCTGTGATGGTACTAATACAGATTCTCCATAAAGGACAAGAACTAGTACAGGAAAAAAACAGAAGAGAAGAGTGAACTTGAGTGTATAAGAGGAGGAAGCTCTTTCTAGATGACTAGGAATGTGGAAAGAATGGGCATGAAAAGGGGGAGCAAGGAAGGTCTTGGAAGATGAATAGTACTCATCAAAGATGAGGAAACAGATAAAGGCAAGAGAGTAAAGCTGGAAGATTAATAGGGATAAAGAACAAGGGGGAAAAAAGACAACTAAGTTGTTTTCAGCATATTCACAGCTTGATGTGAATGTGGAACATGCAGCCTTTCTGCTGTTTGATGGGCGTGCCTCAGCACCTGCTGACTTGGCCTTGGGTACTATGGCTCCTTCCTTCAAAGGGTCCTGCTTCAGGACACTGAGGGAGACTCAGCACTCTGTGGTTACCAGGTTCTTTCAGGGTGCTCCCTGCAGCAGAAGCAGATGAGTACACAGAGAAACGCTCTGGGGAATAAGCTGTACCCTCTGTTGCCTTCTCTGATGACTCTCAGCCAGAGATACAAGTGCCTATTCAATAGAACATAGGGCACCAGAGGACTAACCAAGCCTTCTGCATAATTTTAAGAAATGTCCATTTTAGAATGTAAATGAGAATTTTCCACATCCTTTTTTAAGACCAAAAATCACATCATTTCTTCCCACTTTCCGTGTCTTCTCTCTTCTCTGTACCCTTCCTATGCCCTTTGCATTTGGTTAGATTGAATGTGTTCACAGCACATAATGATGTTGGCCAGCAGTGGAAGCAACCACATCACCAACCTCCTACCATGTTAAGCTCTTCTTAAAGGTCCTTCTAAATGCCCTTGACAGTGCAAGAGGGACAGAGGAAAAACAGGGGAGATGAGGGGCTGGCACTCTCACCTACAACCAGCGCCGAACACAACACTGTCTCCGGGCCAAATTGCAACTCCATATGTTCTACTCGGCCAACAACGCTGGGGATAGGAAGAGAGAGGTCTCCACAGTCCATGGCAGACACTTCTTCCAGCCTGTGGGACACAAGAAGTGTTATTGCCTCAAGTGGAGGAAGAGTAGGAAAAACAGGACTTCTCACTGACGGCAGTTCTTCTTGTTCTCGTTGGGAATAGGCCCACAAGAGGAGGAATCTCTTTCACACAGTATGTCTGGAGGCAGATTCAACAAGCAAAACCTCACCACTAGCCATCAGCTGGGCAGCTTTGCCTTGCACTACACACAGACAGAATGACACAGCTCTGCCTCCCAGTCTGGGGTCTTCACACAACTTTGCCAGTGCTCCTGATGCCTTGCCCTGTATCCCACCTTCTGCACCTTCTCCTAAGCAGCCGTGTGCACATGCAAAGCTGCTGGTAATTATCATTGGGGCTGGGAATCAAGGGTGCCTAGGTTCTTGCCATAGGTTTTCTTTTAGTCATCTCTCCTCTTCTACTGTGCAAAGACTTACCCCAGCTGGTTTAAACAGCTCTTGGAGATGAGGTTCGGTAGACACCCAGTGTTAACAGTCGCTTTCAATACCTGACCTTGGCACTAGAAAAAACAACAACAGATGATTACTGTGGGCTCAAAATGGGCATAGTCACTCCTCTAACTTTCTGAGCAACACAGCCAAAGATGTGGTGTTTTAGGCAGTAGTCAGAAGGTAGGAGACTTATCCAAGACAATGGTGGTCTCCACAGTGCTCTGCAAACCTCTGTCAAAGATTTCTTTTTGAATTTGTCTTCTTTCATTTGTATTTGATTGCCCAGACATTTATCTGTTTTTAGGGACTTTACCTTAACAGTGTTCCTGCCAAGAGATGCATAATTAGTGAATTTGTTCAGAAAACCCCCATGGACTTTATTAGCAGAGCAATAGTTGATATGACAAAAGCTTCTAAAGGAATACAGGCATGTGCTACAGCCTTTGTCATTTCTCCATTGTTACCTGGTGTTGCAGGTAACAATTTTCAAGGGCTAGACATTTGTTTTCAGTTGAAGAGCTTCCAGAGGGAGAAGTCGGAAACAGAAGCAGCCAGCACATATATCCCTGAGATGAACTGACAAATTCAAATGATTCCTGAATGCAAGACACAACCTAATCAGAAGGTATTTATTTTGTGTAGGGCTTACATTATGTTCCTATATAGCTCTTCAAGGATATATGACATGATATTATAAGTACAATAGTAACAGCTGGTGTCATTTAGCAAAGGGAGAGACTGGATGCCTTACACCCCAGTCACCTGTGCTTGATCTTACTGGAATAATCCCCAGTGCCTTGCTCACTTCATTTCTTCACCGCTTTGCACTTGAAAGGGAAAAGGAAATGTGTTTGCCATATGTTTTCTGCCCCCTCTGCACAGAGGTCCTTAATGGCAGGCCAGAGGTGATGAAGTAACAGCAGATCTCATATATGTTAGAGGTTTGAAAAAATAGGGTTATCAAGGACATTGATAAGAATTATGTTCAGGGGAAAAAAAGGAGGAGCAGGACTTAGTAAAGGAATTGGAAAAGATGGGGTAACTGCCATCTACAAAATATGTTTTTCACCTGTCTCTAGTGCCTAATATCCATTCTTGATGGCCTAGTTCTTCAAGGCTCTGTCTTGCACCAACACCCACAAAAGGCCAGCCACAAAGCTTCCCTTTAGAGAGGCTCTTTTTTTTCCCCTACTATCATTTGTGTTTTTCCTGTGATTCCCTCTCTTCCATTCACTGTGGTGCTCTGTGCCATTAGTCACTCAGAAGCAGCAACAGACCTCCCACTGCTCCTCTACTCTTATGCTCATTCCTAACAAGGTTAAATGCTTGATCACCTTAAGCAGACCAGCATGGCTATGAGGTACTCAGTGCAGCATCAGTAGGGTCAAGGAAAATGTTTCAATTTCATGATTTCTTAACTAAATCTGTTTCTGACTATTAATCATAACAGAGAGTGAGCTACATTATTTCCAAGATTTCCAAGAGCTCCAGTATTTCCAAGATTCCATTTTCAGAAATGAACTATTTGTGAGCAGTTATAAAAAGAAAGAACAAAATATCTCTTGTGAGAAATACTGGAATGCTGCAAACAGACACAATATCACTAGGGTCCCTTTCAGCCCAAATAATTTTGTGGTTCTATAACAAAATGCCTCCCTTCTGATTTTAGAGCTCTGCAATGTCTGTGCTGTCTTGTCCTCACTGATGTATCAGCCCTGCCTACGAGGACTGTGGCCAGACTGAGCAGAGAGGTAAGATAAAGGCACAGAGTGCAGATGTGTGCTAAATGTCTGTCTCCTCATCCTCTCTACTGTGCTTCACAGAAGAGGCTTCCCTGTGCCTCCTCACTGCCTAAGTGGGTATACTGAGCATGAGTCTCAGGTCACGTGTGCCACCACATTAGCCCAGGCTGCAACCTGCCAACACTGTCCAGCTGAAACAGCTCTTCCTCAGTAACAGACATGGATTCTACTGGGAAAGCATTAACCATCCCTCTGGCTCACAGAAGCCAACTGTTCATTGCCCAACTGGAGAAAAAGCATTGTATCAGCTTCTCAGAAACAGGAAACCTGAAGCATGGATAGCAGTTACTAAGGAATCACTTTGGGAGCAGGCTGACCTGAGATGCATGAGCTGTTGTTGTTATAATAAGCCTAAACTCTATCACTAGGCAGATTCTTGAGTTTTGTTTCAGAGCAGGCTGGAAAAGTTGCAAGTTAGAAACTTGCTAGCATATAACAGGACAGTGATTATTCTGTAGAAAATAACATTTAATCTCATTCAGTGTAAACAGCCCAGCACAGTTATCAGTTCCAGCAGCATCACAAAAGTTATCCACTTTCAAATTACACCACTAACTATTTGTCCAGAGAACTCACCAGGAGCCTGAGGAAAGTCCTCCATCCAGCATACCACAAATACAAAGCAGTTGAGGTAAGGACTACACAGGCAGCTGATGAGAACTGCAAGCCTTCCTGGCCTAAGAGGACTTTTCATCACATTACCCACTCTCATCTCTGTTCCAGAATTTTCAGTTTGCTACCAGTCACCATTAGTCTTTATCTAAATGTCAGTTATGGGGATTTCCAAGAAAGAGGGGAAGGAGAATCAGTAAGGATCACCGCTTATAAAGAACTGTGTGTTCTGAAATAATGTAAGTTCCAAAGTCAAGAAGCTGCTTTAGCAAACAAAAGGCTGATTAACCCCAGATTGCTTTGGCATAGAGGAAGAGTGGACTGGGACAGCACTGGAATCTTTCATCATCTATTTCCAAGCCAACAAGAGACAAGCTCCACAAGAAAAAAATAACAGCTTGATTCTGTGATGCATCTCCATCATGATAAGCTTTCCAAAGTGCTTTGCAAAAGTTGTCACAAAAAAGGACAATTCTGCTAAAATACCATGTGGGCAAGCCACCTAAGGAAATAGAAGGACTCTGCAGTACAACTCTTATAGACTGGCTCTGTCTCTGATCTCTGAGACTTAAAAAGGCCTTAGGCACAGGACAACTATAACCTGTTAGAGTGAAAACACTTCTTGCCTGAATCTCCCTGTAGCACTGAAGTCTACAGATATTTGGACTTATTCCCCAGGCAAGTTCAGTTCCAAGTCAGTTAATGCATTTGTTAGCACTTTGAAATTTTCAGCGTATTTGTCTGTGTGTAAACGGCAGCTTTAAGCTGGTAGACTATCTTTTCTCAAGAGGTGCTGTCAGGGAAAAAAGACTTCACTGGGGTCATGTTCCATTTCTAATAAAAACTGGACCATAATCAAGCAGTTCTCCAAAAGGTACCAGCTCACCTCTCTGGTTAAAATGAACTGGCAGCCCGAGTCCTATTTCCTGCCACAGTTCTGTTACTGACAGGAGAGGGTTTTTGAAGTTCACAAATGAGAACATCAAAAGCAACAAGACTAAAAAGAAGGGGAGGAGAGCTTTCCTTCCTTCAGTGTAAGAAGATTAAGTGTGACAAACAGTGACTGGCTCTTAAGAAGGGCAGAAAAAGAGAGAAATGCCTGTGCAGAATTCAGGGAGTGTTAGACTTATTTCTTTGACTGTGATGTTCATTAACCCTTCTCTGTGAGGGAGAATAAAATGTGTGTGACAGCTGGGGTCCAGTCCATTAGAAACACAAACGGTCCACTAGTGGACCCTGCTGCTGACTTAACTACTGCCCCTGGGGTACAACACCTGTACATGCTTGTCCTTGCTCAGTGTACGTGCCTGGCAAAAACCCCCACACTTTGTCACTGAATTTCCTCATACAGAACAATAGAGAGTGATTATTAAAGAAAAAGAAACAACTTCATTTGCTCAAAACCAGGCTCCAGGTATTTGGAAAAATTATATTAAAAAGCCATTTATCCTACTAGTCTGTTCCCAAGTAGGGTTATGTTAACCTAGCTACATTAAGGTCTAAAAGCCAGGGTAAGCAATGCCTGACTGCAACAGTAAAGACTGCAAAACAAACTAGACAGTGTCTTTGCTTGCAGCCTTTCAGAAACTTGCTACCATGCTGTGTTCATATTGTAATTTATTGTGCCAACTGAATTTTAAAGGTGTATGTGTTTTTCTTGGAAGTGTAGTCTTTACTCTCTAACACAGGAGATGTTTTTAGGACAGGTAACTGAATTAAAAACAGCTAAAAACTTTAAAATGTATTTTGTATCCACCCTGTACCAGGTCTATATCTTGGTGAGTCTCATATCTGCATATTACTGAGCAGCTTCAACCATGCAGCCTTGTTTCACGGAGCACAGCTTTTGGATGTGCTTTCTGAAGTACAAGGGTCAGGATTAGTGTGCTCTGCTGTATAGGAAGGTATAAGAAGAAAAGGGAGCTAAAAGTAGTGCTTCCATCAAGAGATGCAGCAATGCTAATTCGGAGCACATTTAACCACTTTCTGAGGAGGTCCTCTGACACCCAAGGGAATCAGACCAGACTGGATCCAGCAAGTGTAAATCAACTAGGGTCACTTGTCTTTAAGTGATAAGGAGACATTCCTTGCTTCTGTATGTAGTTATGAAATACCTCCTATCATAGGAAAACTGGTCTTCAAAGGAAGGAGATGTGATTAAGGTAATTTATCCTCAAATATGGACAACTAGAATGCATGTAGCAGAAAGGCTTTCCTCTGGCTTTGGAAGACCTGAATACAGACTCTAGGAGAGGCCATGCATGAAATCTGCTCTCTCTGACTGCAGCTGGCATTGCAATTTATAACTCAGCATGGCCCTTAGGAGGGGGGCAGCTGGAGCTCTGACCTTTTGCCATCACTGTGAAATCAGCAGCACCGTGTTGTTGCCTTACCTGGCACTGTATTAGCAGGGGTGAAGTCTCTTTTCTCCTGTTCTCTCCCTTTTCCATCTTTTCATCCTGGTCTTTTGCCAGCGGAGATTGAACCCGTGCAGACTGAACCCGTAGCTTGTTCAGATTGCCTTCCAAGAGGCGCCGCTGGACCACACTGTGTGGCTGCTGTCTCCATCACAAAGAAAGAGAAATCCCAGCTAAGAATGGAGCTAAGGACAAGGACATTTGCTAGCTCAGGGAAGCAGGTTGCAAATGCCTAACCCAACTGATCATTCTGATGAAAGACAGGCTTATCCCAAGATTTTTTTCTGTAGCCACTAAGGTGATGTTAAAGTGTTGTGATGTCTGTGACAGGCAGATCTCTGGAATGCAGCTATTGGAGGAGAAAAACATGCCTGATGCATGGTCTCCCCACACATATCTGTTCCTTCAGCTAAACATGCACTGGGCAGTCTCATACCTGTTCAGGTACTGCCATACACTACTGAGTGTGTGTGCTGACAACCAACCAGGCACATTCACACCTTCTAATGTGGGAGGGGACAGGGAATGCAGCATGTGTGTGATGTGTATGTGTGGGTAAGAAGGCAGGACTCCAGAAATTTTAGGTGTACAAGCAATTATTTGTAGTGAAGCAGAAAGCTTCCCCTGAAGAGGAAACTAAAACTAGCTTTTAATGTTCTTTGTAGTCTGTCTCTGCTCCCCCACATCAGATGCTCTAGCTTTTGTCCAGTATTGATCCAACACTGCTACTGAATCAACAGTGGGCAACACCAATGAAATAGGCCTGTTGGAGGAAGCTTTGTCCATTCTCCACGTACTTGGCCCCGTGGCCCTTCTCCAGGAGAGCAGCTGCTCAGAGCTGACCATGGCATTCTCAGTAACAACTGCCTAAGTGAAGAAAGGCAAAGAATCTAAAGGGGTTAATGTGCTACAGCATAAACTGCTGTTTTTATCTTTCTAAAAAAAAAATATTAAAAGATAAATTAAATCCTAGATTGTTCAGCAGCTTGATGTAGGATCTTGTCAATGTGCAGGCCAAACACATGAATTACACCAGACCTGCCAATGAGCTGGGTACCCACAGCATACGTGTGCTTCAGACCAGCTTCATGCTTGGTCAGAGGGCTGAGGCCAGGGAAGTGTGTAAATTGCCACTTGAAGTACCCTGACTGGTCATATTTGGCAAATGATTGGAGCAGGACAGATGTTACTGGCTTTTTGGTCACACTCAGCATTGCTCTTTGCAAGATGCCAAGTCCCTCATGCCTCTGTTTCCTTGTCACTCAAGGGGTGAGGGTCAGATCATTCACATGCTGCGTGGGAGGCACTGCAGTAGTTGAAAAAGTGAGGTAAAAATATCCCTCTGTTCCCAGTCTTTTCCCAGCCTACTGTGCCGGCCCACAGCACAGCTGGCTGTTGTACTTAACTCCCTAAGTACTCTGAGCACAGTGCCAGTTTGCCTGCCAGCTAACATCTGGGCCATGGGAAAAGGGCAGGGAATAAACAGCAGGTCTTCGAATTCCCATCCTCCCTCCTATCTCTCACAATCTGACATGCAAAGGACTTTTCCCTCTCCCTGCAACCTTTCCCACAGAAAGAGCAGGCCAATTGCAGCTGCCACCTCTGTCCCCATCTTGTCACTCAGGCTGGGAAGAGGCCAAGTGCTGATGGGGATTTGCTGGGATGTGGAGTCATCTGATCAAGATCAGACTCCTGGGGCCCTTCCTATCTTCTCTCTCACCAGTAAGATGGAGAATGGGAGACTGTTGTCTCTCTTGGGCTGGTCAGAAACAATTAGATTTAGAGGATGGTGAGGGAGGACCTGAGGGATGTTTTGGCCAGCAGCTGGAAAGGAGGCCCTCTCAGGGCACTTAAAAGGGTCAAAGCAGGTTGCCAGTGCAACTTAGGGAAGGTTCAGGCTCTCTAGTATGAAATCTCAAGGCCTTGCTATGATTAGTGACATTGTACGAGCTGGGGAACTTGATTTTTGGGAGGCAAGAAGCCTGATCTTCAGACCTTCTTGGTACTTTCAGAATATGTAGCTCATGTAGCTACTTATTTTATTTTGGCATTAGGAAAAAATAAATCATGCTTGTTGCTACAAAGCTGGAAATGTGAGATCTCCATAGAAATGTATAATTACTCATTGTCGGAGACATGATGGGCCCATCAAATCCCAGGCACTGCTGGATGCATTGCATAAGCTGAATGCACACCCAGAGTACAAGAGAGGAGTGGCAAAAAGTAACAGCCTGTGACTGCAAAAGAAAGCACATATTTAGTTTTAAATTACACGAGGCCTTACTCTAATTTTAGGACATCTGGGATGGCCACAGCTGGAGTCTCTGGTACTGTCAATGGAGACCTGTTTTGGGGAATCAATTAAACTCTCCTCCTAGTGTAAGTGCTATGGGACTCTGGGGTGTTTTGCTCTCTCTCCAAGATCAAACTCTCCAGCACTTCCTACTGCTGCTTTGTTTTCAGTACATTCCTTTTTTGTATTCCTGTCCTCCAGGAGGGATCCATATAAATTTAGGAAACATAGATGGGGTTTTCATAGGGCTGGAGAAATGCCAGGAGATATATGCCAAAAGCATATTTTGGACTCTAACTTGCAGTCCCCAAAGTATCACAGCAATGTCAGAGTATCCCATCAAGTTGCAGGAACTTCTGAATTACTCAGGCTTAATTCTCCTCTTGCTCCAAGGTAAAGCAGAAATGGAGGTACCACACGGGTCCCATGTATGCAGACTTTGCACAGGGGCCACAATTTATTTTGTGCCCTCTAATGCCAGAGCAAAACCTCCATGTCAGAAAAGATGTTATGCCTTATTCACTGCCCCCTAGCTCCATGGTAAAAATGTTTCAGCTATTCTGTCGTGGACCAAACATGAAGTATGCAGTGTTTTGCAGTGTTTTGCATGCTATCTACACACAGGGAATTCTCCCGCTTAGAATGGTTAATTCAACCAGGAGAGCTGCTCATGGCAAGTGATTTGGACAAGGACTGTCTTGCTCGAGCGAGCATTTGTGGCTTCAGGGTGCCAGTTGTCACTCTGGGGCACAGTGTGACAAGAGTCAATTCCAAAGCAAAGCAGGTAGACATGTTTCTCTCTGCCTTGGTGACTGGGGTCAACAAACACACACTAAAACACTCAGAAGTGGCTTCTTCCCGTACCCTGCCAAAAGCTGTCCAGGGACAGGCCCAGGGGTATGTCTGGCTATGCCCTCCTGAGGGGATGTTTGAGCTGCAATGCTGCAGGGCTTGTGCCTGCCTGCCTGTGCTGCCAGCCTGAGCGGAGCCCTCCGGGCTCCAGCATGGCCAGACCTCCTTCCCTGTGGGGAGGAGAGCCCTGTTCCTTGCTAAGACAGCGCTTTTGTGATTTCCCTCTCGTACTTCAGCAGTGACAGTGTGCAGGGCCGGAGGGACACTCAGGACCAGTCCCTGCTGACGTCCATGTGTGTGCAGCTGTGAAGGGCCGGCAGAACACAAGGCGACAGCTCAGGGTGACTTTGAAGAGCCACCCTTTACCCTGCTGAGCCACAGACTCTCAGCAGCTGCTGAGGCAGCTGTGGGGTGGGTGTGGGAGACAGGAGGGTGTGCCAGCATGGGAACGTGGCACTGACCCCTCGTCTGCGCAGGGCAGAGCTGCTGCAGCTGAAGGGTTCAGCAAGGAGAATAGCTCCCACTCAGGCCCAGTGCCAGGGATCCTGCCCATCCCACACACACGTGCTCTTGTGTGCCTTGCTTCCAGCAGCCTTGCAGCCTGCTGCAGGAGCCAGGAAGTGATGGGAGATACACATACATGAGCATCTGTGGTGTTGCGATTGTCTGAGGATACAGAGGGAAGCACAGACTGCAAGGAGGGGCAAGATCTTTTATGACACCCACAGGCACAGATGGAATAAGTGATTGTGCCCTCATCACAACTAGACCTAGGCACTCTTTCAGGAAAATAGTTTAGACCCCTGCATCCTTGAGCAGCTAAACTCCACAGTGGAAAGTTAGACAGCAAAACTGCCAGAGCAAGGGGAGTATGTGCACAGTTGAGCCAGCAAGAGATCCCATGGGGAAACTGCTTCTAGCCTCGGGGAAGTCCCTCCAGCCCACAGACCGCCCAGGCTCCTGGAACAGATCTCCCTTCCCGATGCTTCCTGCTCCACATCTCCACAAGAAGATGCCCACAGGCCACACTCCAATGCCACCTCCCCAAAGGTGTCATCCACAAGTGCCAGGCACTGCATCTGCCTGTGTGCCTGGTTAGTGGTCCTGCCTCATGCTTGCCCCTCCACAAATCCAGAGAGTGAGGGGAGAGAAAATAATGCAGAAAGGTGACAAGGTCAAACATAAACCTCTCAGAGTTTTATGAACTGTGCTTCCCTCCCGACTGAGTCTGGAAAGCAGTCTGCGTTTGAGCTGGATCATGCAGGAATAGATGGGGGTTTTCAGATATGTCCCACATGGAAATATACATGTCACATGAACATATATAGGTACTGGTGAGTAGAAACTTGGATACTGGAGAGTCCTTCCAGTCCATATCTGCCTTCCTCTGTGAGGAGTTTGGTTCCTATGGGGATGTATAGAGAGTATAGATGCATATAAATGAGTGATTCACTCTTTTGCTTTACCCTGACCTGCTTCTAGATCATCCTGAAGGGAAGTTTCATCTTTGCCCATGATCCTTTCAGAAACCTGATAACAGTTCCCAACTGGGATGAAAGCTATTAGGAGGACTCCCTCCCAAATGGGGTCCCACTGGACTCACCAGATCCTTGGAAGTGCCAAGCCTTGTCAAGCCATCCAGGGGCAGCAGATCAGCAGAGTCCTTGTGCACAAACTGGGTGGCCTGTTTAAGGCGTCTCTTCTGTTGCAGAATAGCTTTGTTCCTCAGCTCCATCTCACACTCCTGTCGCTCCAGCTCAGGAGTACCCTCACTCTGCTTTTCCTCCTCGTCTCCTTGCCCCAGTGGCAGGTGGCAGCTCTTCTTCGTGCTCATGGTGAAGATTCAGACAGAACCGGTCCTTTTTGTTATGCTGGGGTGTTCCCTGAACTCGTCTCCTGGCGTTTGCCCTCTGGAGGCTGACTCAGTCTCTGATCTCCTTTCCCTTCCCCACAGCTCTCCTTCTCTTGCTTTCTCTGACTTTCTTCCTGCTCTTAGTTATAACTCACCCATCTCTGAAGTGTCTCCGTGCCGGTTTCTCTGTCTGTCCCCTCCAGTCCCCCGTGTCCCTCTGCTCCCAGCCTCTTCCTCTCCCTCACTTCTCCTGCCCTGACTGCAGCTCTCCCTCCTCCAGTCCGTGGGTCCCTGTCGTAACAGAAAAAGCCCCGCGTCAGAAACCGATTTCCATAAATCACAGCAGAGCCGGCGAGATGCTCTGGCTGGAAAAATCCAGCAGCAGAAGGGTGGCCCCGCTGTCGGGGGTTGGACTTACCTCCCCGGGCTGCGCGCACGCACCCGCGTGTGCCCGTGTGTGTATTCCTGTATTCCCTGTTCCTGGCACTCTGGGGACACACTAAATCTCCCAGCGGCAGCCTGTGCGATCCAGCAGCTCTGCCAGGGGGCTCTGACGCATCTCAGTGTATCTGCAAATACTGGCAGCAACACGGTTCAGCCTAGGAGATGATGCAGTACCGTGGTAAATGGGAGAGAGCATCCTCCTCAAGGCTCCTGGCAGGCATGCCCAGTCTCCTTTCTGCAGAGACTGTCATGCGTTTGGAACAGGCTGCACTGAAGGATTTTTCTGTGTAGCTTGAATGAAATGCTGAAGGTCTGGTCTCTGCTTCCATCCAGGGCAATTGTATTGGGCCCGACTCTGCTCTCATTTTCACCCCACTCCATCTAAAGCAATCCCCTCCAATGTTGCAGAAGCCTAAAATCATGGCCTTGTTGATACCAGGGCACTTGACTCCCTGTTTACACTAAGAGAGTGCTGACACTGCTGCAGTGTGGGATGTCTGGACCAGGGCAGACATCCCTCCTCTCAGGGGAGAAAGGACGTGGCAGAGCTCACTTTTTCAACGTTCTGCCTTAATACTATCCTGCTTGAAACAGTAAGTTTCAACTTGAACTGAAGCTGCTTTATTTTGATTTCTGTTCACTAGTTAATACACTGCCCTATTAAGCACTGATTCTGACATCAGAGGACAAAACCAAATTTTACTCAGCTGTGAAGCTGAGAACAGCACTACCTTTCCATGAAAGCCAGCAAGGGGTGAAACAGCTTTCATGTGCAACACAGAAGGACTAGAAGCAGCTATGAAAGTTACAGCAAAAGGAGACTTTCTATTGCTCCCTCCAATTTGTTTTCCAGTTTAGTAGTATGTAACATTCCAATATTACTGATACCAATTATTTCTATGTTCTAGATTCTATATAAAAAGATAATAGTGAGTTTACAGTATTAGGAAGTAAATCCAATACAAAGATCCAGATATAAGTCCAGTCAGCCCATTGTGAGACCTGACTGTGGTTGTAGAAACTACCAAAAGGTTGTCCTCAGTGCAAAGGAAACGATGGTTTTCTATGGTGCATCTTTTACTCCCTGCTAATCCTTACAGTGTTAGCACTTGTCTTAGGATCTTTGCTCCTCAAATGTGAGAAGGGAGGCTGGTCATTTAGAGTCATTCTAAAATTTGGAGAGGTTGGCCTTTTTGTTCCCAGTATGCTAACTGCTTTACACAAGGTATTACAATTTCCACAGCACCAAATTGCAGAACTAGATTTGGCAGGAATGGGAGTAGAAGTACATTCTAACTGCTTTACACTCCAAAGCCAAACTTCAATACCATAATGCAGGCAGAGTCCCACCAAGAGCTCAACAGAGGTGTTTACAACTGTCCTTATCTATCTGCAAATCAAATTAAGAAAATAGTTTAAATAAAGGATATTCCCAGGGAAACTGTGTTCCCACAGTCTTATTTTCTTGCCTCTAGGTTGTTATGATTCGTGCTTTACACACACTTTTGATCTCTTGTGGCCTTGCGGAGTATACTCTGAGTCGTCTTATCAAGTCCTTTTATTATCCCTGTAAACCAGTACTGAATCATGCACCTCTGCTCTCACACAGGGCCAGGAGGTGTTTCCCCTCCTGCTGACTGTGAATACCTCAGCAGGCCAGCCATGACAAAGCAGGTCTGCTTCTGCTTGTAGCAATGGCAGGGCCAATTTTCTCAAAGCCTCAGAACAGACCTCAAGACTGTAAAGTAGAATGGAACATTTTGGAGCCAGACCACCTACAGTCTCTGCTTTGAAACCTATGGGCAGAGCTACAGAGTTTCTGACAAGATCGTCTCCCACCATAGATGTGCACGTGGGCATGAAGAGGAGGGAGCACTCCTAGTTCCCAGTCCCTGTACTTCCTTACAGCTAGTTTATTTTTCATAGCACTTTGGCAAAGTCCAATCAAAATCAGTTTGCCTTGCAGCAGTGCTGGAACCATTACTCGAGCACTTCTGCTTTAGGAACCAGTTAATCCTGGTCCCTAACTCACAAAATATTTCTCTCTTTTTACCTCAAAGAGGAGAAACCTTCAAATCTTATTTAAAGCTTTCTCCCCTCCTTCATGCCTTCTGCTTCTAACTGCATGTCACTTAATTCTTTATATCCTGTGATGTGTTAGTTCGTAGACCTGGCAAAAAACCCTAGCATTTTTATGGAGGTGAAGTCAGCTAAAACACTATCTTCTCCCTTCAGAGGCATGCTAGGTTCTAGGTCACTGTTTTTTTTCTATTCAGCTATTATTTTTTCCATCCTATTCTTCTTAAACAGAGCCCGTTTACTAAGTAGGTTAGGAACTCTCTGGTTGTTGGGTTTTTTTGCAGAATGGACACTCTTAAAGGTTTTCTACAGGAAAATCAGATCAGAGTGCAGCAAATTTTAAGGGTTTCTTTGTGCCGGTACTACCTTTCCCAGTCATCTTTTGTAGGCCCTGAAAAATAGTATATGACTCACCAAGGGCCTTTGTTAGATAAATAAAACTGATTTAGATGAAAATATTGATGCACAATCCCATACACACTGACAAATTATTTTCCTTTCTTGATCCAGTCACATACAATAATCATAACACATTCTACCTCACTATTCTGCACTCTTCATACAGAAATCCTTACAGGATGTGTAGCAGTGCTATTCAGACAATAGAAGAACCACTCTGCCTCCACAGAAGATAAATGCCCTTCTCCCTGCTCCCTAGCTTGGCCTTCCAGCTCAAAGCTGTTACAGGTCACTGAGAGCTCTGGGGCAAAAGGTTCCAGGTTCTAATCACAAAGCTACAGCACTCTATCTATATTTATGGGTGTTGGTTCCTGATCCTGACCACCTCCATGTCAGAAACAGTGAAGAATTCAGAAGTAGTGCATGTATTTCTAAGGAAAAACACTGAAAAGCAGCATTTCCCAGTAGCCAGTTTGCCAAGCCAAGAAACAAGAGAGGATCAATATTCCAGTCAGCTACTCCGTTGTTGGAAGAAATTCATGAAGAGTACCTGGAGTAGTGAAGGGGAGAAATGGAATCCTTTGCTGATGGAAGCAAATCACAGATTTGCTCACATGAGACCAATGTTTTACTGAGTACCCTAGCTGTTTGAGGAGCTGCTCTGTTGAGGGCTTTCACTGGTTTGACTTAAATTTCACAAGCTGAGGTTCTTTCACCAGATTTTCCTTGTATCTCACTTCTAGGAAGCTTTACCTTTTCACAATTTTTTACCTTTTTTTAATGACTAGGTTAAATCATTCCTCCTTAAAATATTCTCCTGCAACTTTTGCAACTTCGAATGGTTGTTTCTTTCTTAGATATTTCTCTTCAGCTTTGAATTTTTCTCTTTCAATAGTTTGAAAACTATTATTTTGTCCTCCTGAGAGCTGACACAGTGGAGGTGTGAGGGTGGATTGTAGATAAAGAGCTTTACATTTCTTTTGTGACAAGTTGGGCTGTTAAAGAGCTCAACAATAGCGCCCACATAATGCAACCAGCCCAAAGGTTGTTTCTACATTACACCAGTTTCCAATGTACTGTCTCAGTTTGGCAGTGCAAGCTTCAAGTGGGTGTAAAAATGGCCCTGGGTGTAGCAACTATGTCAAGACCAGGATACTCCTTGTGGTGCCCAGTGCAGAATCACAATGAGGTGACTTTCTGCTCATTCTCTTTCACTGCCACAGCCTGTGCGCGGTCTGTGGATGCACAGATGGTGCAGAGGAGTGATGAGAGGACAAATCTTACTCAGGCAAATCATGCATGCTTCTCTCTCCCCTTCTGTCTTTGAAAAAAAAAGCTTCCTCTGCTTTGAATTCCCTCCACTTTTATTATTTGTATAATAAAATATCTTCATACTCTAGAAATAATAAGTAATAAATTACAGTATTTGTATCTGTGAATATGTCTGGCAAGTTTCCTTGAGATAAATGTCATCTGAGATGTACATAACATTTAGCTTGGCTGCTGGATAGTGAAGTGTGTCCTGCCAGTAAGGTCAGTCAGAAAGTAAAATAGTTTCCTTAATTAGGTAATTTACAGTCAATGTGTAGTCATCTGCCATATGGGCTAGAGTTATGGTTACACCATAGCAAACTTAGAACAACATTGTCCAATATGAAATCCCTCTGCTATACAAATATTGCTTGCAATGATTTGTGTCCTGTCTGTATTGATTTCCTTGCTTGAGCTAAACTGCATTGAAAAGGGGCCTTTTCCGTTTGGTTAGAATAGTTAGTATCGCCACAGAACAGTTGCTGATCATGCAGCAGCCAGTACAAAATTCCATTACACAGCTTCATGAATCACACTAGAAAACTTTGGCTTTGTTTTCACAAGGGGAAGGAAAAACACTTCCGAGTGCTAATGCACATAGCAATGGCAACTGTCTTCCTCATGCTAGAGCTTCTCTGTGCTTATGAAAAGGCTTAAAGCAGAGAATAATTTCTGCTAGGAATATGCTTACTAATAAAAGTATGCAGGAGTCTGAGATGAAGGATAGTTGTGTATTTAAGGCCAGTAGCACAGTACTTGGAAGCATGCAGCCTCAAAGATGTCTCCTGTATGTCTCTCTAGGTGGTTGTTTTCTTCACTGTCCTTTCACTTTCTATCTGTAGGTACAACAGCATTTCCATTATCTGCTTAGCTTGAGGCTAAGAATGAACTCGCTGTTAACACAGACAATTTAAGTCTCTACATAATGCCATAAAAATAATAATGATGATTTTGCACCGTTAAATCTCCTTTCAGAGGGTGTCCTCAAAGCTGAATACTCAAACAGTAAAACTCAGCACAATTAGAGTTGCCTTGAAAAGCTTAATCTCGTACGTATATGTATGGGCCTATTACTAAAGTCTTGGCAAGGTGCTTTCAGAGGCTGTCTATGGGATTCTGTCAAAACCTCCTGTTTTTTTCATAATAAACAACAACAGAAAAAAAGATTTCAACCACCTATACACTCTTTGCCTGTGCCCAGCTAGCTGCAGAATCAGAGCAGATCTCATCTTGCTCAAAATGAAGCCCAGATGTAGTCCTTGGAAGGTAGGAGTCTCTGTTGGCTGTCTTTGCCTCCAGTCTCATTTCCTTTGGGGACAGGTTTTACTTTTAGAGTCCGCCATCAGACACTGCAGAAAACTTTCCTATCAGCACTTGCCAGGTGTGCTGCAGTGTTTCCTGTCGTG